TAGTTTTTTGGTCCTCAAACATTTTGTTGAATAATATAACTTTAAACAAAGTGAACAAAAACTTCTTTCCAATAAATTTCTCAGTTATTTAGCTTTGAGAATTTGACCCCCTTTAAATAGTGTTTTTTAACAAAAAACAACCTCCCCCCTCCCCCCCCAATATTTTATTGGGACTATGGTCTGTTTGCCCAAAGTGTATCCCAAGATAATGCCGTTTTTCTTTCTGTACATGATAGAAAGATGCTTAAGGAATGTCTTGTCATTGTCTGTAATATTGGTGCCCCTCCTCTTGCTTCATCAGTTAGAACATTGATCTAGAAGACTTCCAAATCCTGTTTCTGAATTAATAACTTTAAAATAGGTAATGGAATCTCTGATATAGAATGTCACATCTTCTCTTACCCATTCTGTCCTTCCTAAATAGTTAAAATGAACCTGAAAGTATGTGGGAGAAATTTCTTTGATCTCTAGACAGGTATGACATTAAAGCTCTGATCGCCGTTCTTTTTACTGAATTGCTGCTGCTTTGTTTTCTTGTACTTATGTTGTACTGTGGCATGAGTGCTTCATAATTATACGTTCCTTGGTGCCCATTACACCCTGAACACTCACAATACATATTGGTGGTATAATGCACAGAAAAATAGGAAATGGGGTTCTCTTCCTTTCTCTTAGAGTATAATGTGGAGCCAAATACTAAAGTACACAGACAAGAATCTTGTCCCCAAGCCTTGCACCTTGGTTTAGTGTTCGTCTTTGAGTCTGCAACTGCACAGACTTTTGATCTTATCAAGTTTCACAGGCTAAGCAGTTAGGCACATTCAGTCCTTGGATGTGAGACTACCTAAAGAAGATGGAGTTGCTAGGGAGAAGTATAGCTGGGGATGCAGTGAATCATTACTGAACCAGTGGTGAATGAGTGTATTTGGATTTCTTAAGGGTCTATCCTTGGTCTTAGACACATTATTAAAGAGTTCACACTGTTCAGTATCAGATCTAAGAATGACCATTTCGTTCACTCACTTTGTGCTGTTCTGGAACAGTTGCTAACTGGCTTAACGTATCCAGTAACTCCATCTCTAAAGTAGGACGAGGAGTCCTACTGTAGACTGCCTCTTCTGACATGGTCTGCCAGCACTGCTCTGAACAGGGTTGCATAACATGGTGGTAAACATTGCCATTGGCCTGTGTATAATGTGAATATCAGTTTATCTCTACTGGTTTTAGCAAGAGTGGGAAACTTAAAAAAAAACAAAAAACAAAAACCCACCCACAACAAACCCCTAGTATAGATGGAGCCTCTGTGCAGGTGTTAGGGTAGCAGATCTGTAACAGTGGCAGAAATGGCAGTCTCTCCAACCCTACATCTCCAAATCCTCGTTAGTTGACATAATTTGCTGAAAAAAATGAGCAGGGTGTAACAGACTGTGTACTGGAGTTCACATCTTTCCCTCATTGCATTACTGCAGGCTGTCTGAGGCACATAGGATCCGAAGCCACTCTCCCATTTATATATGGCCTTGTCTATTCTAGGAGGGTTTTTCCAACATAGTTTACCAGCAAAACTTGTTTAGTGTAGATGCAGTTGTGTTATAACTGTTTGTCCAAGTATAAGCATGATTATACCAGTTCATCTGTATCCACACAAGGGCATATTTCAGTATAGCTATGCTGGCAAAAGATCACAACTCCAGCTGATGTAGTTACGTTACTACTTTTGTGTAGACCAGGCCTAAGACTCCTGGAATGCTGAATGGGGATGGAGCAGAAGCCTTTGCTTGGCAAGAACTCCACTCAGTCATACTGTACTGGAGGAACAGACCCCCCAGGAGCTTCTGAAAACCTTCAAAACTTGTGGAATCATAAAGTTTGCTCTGCATGCATCTTCCGCTTTGAGGGTTGCTCCTTTTTCTGGCTGATGGAACTGTCTAAGGAATCAAATTCTCTCTTTGTATACTGTGTGCCGTACCCAACATAAGAATGGCCATACTGGGTCAGACCAAAGGTCCATCTAGCCCAGTATCCTGTCTTCTGACCATAGCTAATGCCAGGTGCCCCCAAGGGAGTGAACAGAACAGGTAATCACCAAGTGATCTATCCCCTGTTGCCCATTCCCAGCTTCAGGCAAGCAGAGGCTAGGGACACCATAGAATCATAGAATATCAGGGTTGGAAGGGACCTCAGGAGGTCATCTAGTCCAACCCCCTGCTCAAAGCAGGACCAATCCCCAACTAAATCATCCCATTGAGGGCTTTGTCAAGCTTGACCTTAAAAACTTCTAAGGAAGGAGATTCCACCACCTCCCTGTCCCATGTTGTTGAGTGATGTACGAGTTAGATGGAACAACACACTGGGTGTGGCACAGAGGAATTTATCCCTGATATAGCCTGGGAAAGATTTGAAATTGTTCATTTTCAATTGACAAGAGCATGTGGGAGATTCTCCTTGTGAAACTGAAATTAAACCCTTTGGGAAGTTCCATCCAAATAATGTGTGATTCCAATGTACACTTACGGTTGGCACTGATGTGTCACCCAGAATGAAAGGTCCTCTGGATGTGAAAACTGCTACATTTCTATTGGTGTCACTGGCAAGTGCTGTGTGCAGGAGCAATAGTATAGCCATACTGAATCTCTGAAGAGAACTTCCTAAATTTTGCTATTTCCATACTGAGTTAAGCTCCTATGTGCTACATACAACCTCCATGGTTATCAGCTGTGTAAACTAAACTTCTGGTGACTAGACCTTCAAATACTAGGCAGTGAGTTAAAGGAAATGAGTAAGAATGCATATGCAGCAAGTAAACTAAGGTTATATCACTGAAAAATGACTCTTGTGTGAAGTAATTTCTCAAGTTTTGCTTGGCAGAAACAACAAGGCTTACTTCTTAACAGGTCAGCATCGTAGTTGTATCCCATTTTTTCTTTAGATCAGGTGTAACTCCTCACTTAAAGTTGTCCCGGTTAATGTTGTTACGTTGCTTATCAATTAGAGAACATGCTGTTTAAAGTTGTGCAATGCTTCCTTATAATGTTGTTTGGCAGCCGCCTGCCTTGTCCACTGCTTGCAGAAAGAGCAGCCCGTTGGAGCTAGCTGGTGGGGGCTTGGAATCAGCTCCCTGCTCCTCTAAGTTCCCTGTGCGGCAGCTACCCAGCAAACTATCAGTTGCTGGCAGTTCAGCTGTTCTTCCCCCCACTGCCATGTGCTGCTCCTGCCCTCTGCCTTGGAGCTGCTCCCAGGAGCCTCTTGCTTGCTGGGCGGGGGGGGGAGGAAAGAAGAAGAGGGGTGCTAATGTCAGGGTATCCCTCTCCCCCCTGCTCCTGTGCACCTCCCCCCCCACTTACCCCATCTCCATAGAGCTGGCGGGGGTGGGGGGTGGGACGGGGACGACAGGGCTCAGGACGGAGGGAGCTTGCTGGCAGCAGCTTCCATCTCAACTTGCTGATCTACTTAAAAAGGCAATGTAGTTAGTGGGGTCAGCATACCTAAAGGGGCAATAAGCATCACACGCACGCACACACACGGTGTGTGTCTTTCTCCCATGTTGTCTCCCCTTCCCTCCATTTGTGCTGCCTTGTAGAGTGAGGCTACATTAACAACACTGTGTTAATCCTTGAGGGCTCAGCCGAGTGGTAGTTCATCATTTAGCAGTAAGGCATTCCCTGGGAAATATCCCCCCCTCTGACTTCACCACCTCAACTAAGCTTCACAATCATCATTGCTGTGTACAGTATTAAATTGTTTGTTTAAAACTTTGTGCGCGTGTGTGTGTTTGTATGTAGAAATTTTTTTTCACCAGACAAAGGACTATATAATTAATATATATAAATAAATAAATATAAAATAGTCCTTTGTCTGGTGAAAAAAAATTTCCCTTGAACCTAGCCTCTTCTCCCCCCCCCCCCCCATTTTCATTAATTCTTATGGGGAAATGGGATTCACTTAACATCGTTTCGCCTAAAGTTGCATTTTTCAGGAACATAACTATGTTAAGCGAGGAGTTACTATATCTGAGTTCATTCTTACTGCTGCTGCCACTTTCTGATCTAAATTGGCCTTTCTGGAGATAGTGCAGCACGCTTTATTTTTCCTTATCTCTCTCTCCTGCTTTGTCATCAAGTTTCTCTTCCTTTTCACCACTGTCTTCTTGGTATTTCTCCTGCCCCTGGATCTTTCCACTATCGTTAATCTCCTTCATGCTTCTGAAGTTAGATGCTAGTAGCTTTTTCTGTAATCGTTCATAGATCACCTGCAGTGATCCTGGTTGGACCTAAATTCTTGTACCTCCTATACCTTGCTTGTAGTCTCGTGTCCTAAAAGTAGAAAAAGCTTGGCAACTTAAAAACAAAAGCATAAAGAGAGATGGCTATTAGGTAGAGAAAGGGAATGAATGGGTGGCTGGAGACAGCGTGGAGGTGGCTTACATTTTCTAGGATTTCAGGGGGAAAACCCATACTACATAGTAGGAACAGCAGGAGAGGAAGCACACATCTTTGTAGGTGTTACTGGAAATAAACTGTTGGCCAGACTTACTGTTGGATTCTAAATTTAAAGATGTGAAACTGGGTTAAAATATCAAATCTTAATTTCCTCAATCCAAAGTCACTTGTGGTTTATATCTAAGGGATTATACTACCTCAAGTAACCCTATAAAACAGTAGTATTCTAAGTAAATGGAAATAGATAGTACTGATCCTAGGGCTTAATCCACTTCAGTTTGGTTCTTAGACTTGGTGTTGTAAACCTGAGTGTTCATTTCTCTATTTTTGTTCTTTAAATAAATCCTTAATTAAAGGAATGGATCACTTCTAAACAGTAGGTCCATGCTTTCTGTTCAGAGTAGCATGGTGTATCTTTCTTGTCTTAAAACAAGAATCAAGAAACCCATTGGTCACTTTCATAAATAGAGATTTCATTTAAATAAAACTTAAATTTTTTACTTTCTCTCTGAAATTCAATCTTCAGGACAATCACTGTATCTATTTCTTTCATTATCTTAGGTGAGTGGAGTCAAGACCCTCTATGAATCTGAGCTGGCTGATGCCCGAAGAGTTCTGGATGAGACTGCAAGAGAGAGGGCCAAACTACAGATTGAAATAGGAAAGCTAAGAACAGAACTTGATGAGGTCAATAAGAAGTAAGGAAACTGAACTTCAGTATGATTTTACTCCCATTCAGAATAATGGGTAACGTTAGCACATTTTAGATTGGGATTGATGGATGTCTTTCTAAAGTGTGCTATAGCTCTACAAAAAGTTACGGGCTTGATGCAGGAATCACTTGGTGAAATTCTCTGTCCTGCTTTGTGCAGTATTCTGACCAGATGACCATAATTGTCTCTCATGGCATTAAAATCTGACCACCTTCTTTGAGTGTTTGCACATATCCATTTCAATGTAAGTGTGTGCACCCCAAGCCCAGTTGCTGGAAATTTTTCCCTCAGCGGTATCTGTTTTGTCAGCTTTAATGTGTTCTGGTGTCGCATGCTCATAGCACCAGAATAAGGGGCCCTGCTGGATCCTACTCTCCTTCAGTTCCTTCTTACTGCTCGTGACGGTTGCTGGAAATCTCCTCCCTTAGTGTTTTTCTAATCTTTAAGAACATAAGAATGGCCATACTGGGTCAGACCAAAGGTCCATCCAGCCCAGTATCCTGTCTGCCGACAGTGGCCAATGCCAGGTGCCCCAGAGGGAGTGAACCTAACAGGAAATGGTCAAGTGATCTCTCCCCTGCCATCCATCTCCACCCTCTGACAAACAGAGGCCAGGGACACCATTCCTTATCCATCCTGGCTGATAGCCATTAATGGACTTAACCTAAATGAATTTAAACCCTGTTATAGTCCTAGCCTTCACAACCTCCTTAGGCAAGGAGTTCCACTTGTTGGCTGTGCGCTGAGTGAAGAAGAACTTTTTTATTTGTTTTAAACCTGCTACCCATTAATTTCATTTGGTGGCCCTAGTTCTTATATTATGGGAACAAGTAAATAACTTTTCCTTACTCACTTTCTCCATACCACTCATGATTTTATATACCTCTATCATATCCCCTCTTAATCTCCTCTTTTCCAAGCTGAAAAGCCCTAGCCTCTTTAATCTCTCCTTATATGGGACCCGTTCCAAACCCTTAATCATTTTAGTTGCCCTTTTCTAAACCTTTTCTAATACCAGTATATCTTTTTTGAGATGAGGACCACATCTGTATGCAGTATTCAAGATGTGGGTGTACCATGGATTTATATAAGGGCAATAAGATATTCTCCATCTTATTCTCTATCCCTTTTTTAACGATTCCTAACATCCCGTTTGGTTTTTTGACTGCCACTGCACACTCCGTGGACGACTTCAGAGAACTATCCACAATGACTCCAAGATCTTTCTCCTGATTAGTTGTAGCTAAATTAGCCCCCATCATATTGTATGTATAATTGGAGGTATTTTTTTCCAATATGCATTACTTTACATTTATCCACATTAAATTTCATTTGCCATTTTGTTGCCCAGTCACTTAATTTTTGTGAGAACTTTTTGAAGTTCTTCAGTCTGTAAATAATTCTCATAGTTTTTAGTTATTTAGTAGTTTTAGTTCTCATAGTTTTTAGTAGTTAGGGTAGGTTAAGATAGTTTGGATGCCTCCATTCATAGATAGCAGAGTTGTCCTTCTTCCTGGTGCCAAGACCTGCCTTTGGATGATCCGCACTCGAGCAAGTATTTAGGGGAAGCTCGTAGGAAGGACCTCTGCCAAATTTGTAAAGAATTCAAGCCCTGGACCTAGAAGGACCACACTGCTCATTTGAAGGTCCTCTGCATGGAGGCAGCCTTCAGACTGGCCTTGGACCCGCAGCTTCAGCTTCTGTGCAGAGTGCTCCTCCATCAACACAAGTCCCTCGGCACTCATCGTCTTCGCCAGTGCCTAAGAAGAAGCACCAGGAGAAGAGCTGGTCTCCGGTGCCAAAGGACAAAGACGGAGAGAGTGAGACCCATGCCAGGCTGCTCTTCATCCCCGGTACCACATCACCAGGTGCCCACAGCCCTGGTTCCGCAGCATCCTATGATGTCCACTCAAGACTATTGTACTGGCCAATTTATGGTCCCATCGATCCCTGAAGCATTTGCAGCTGCAAGGGTTCTTTTGACCCTACCGGAACCAGACTCCCCTGTCAGGGCTTGGCACCGCCAGTGTCCCAAAGTGGCAGGGAATTGATGCCAGTACCTAGACAGTCAGTGCGTCAGCTGTCCAAGAGGAAACCCTTGTTGATAACCTCAAGGTCCCCCAGGCAGCCTTCTCCGGCACCCAGTGGCACAACACTCCAACTTACCTCTCCTTCCTCATTGGACTCGGAGGAGGATTAGTATTTCTACCCCCCCACCCCCACCAAAGTGTCCGACTTCGCTGCTCTCTGGGCTGTTCCCACTCCATTATGGCACTGAGTTCGTCAGGACCTCTGGGTGCCTGGCCACCATACCCATGGGGCCCAACCATCATGCAGTGGCCTTTTTGGAACCCGTGAGGGTTTCGTCCACCACAAAGGGACTCGTTAGAGATTATCTTATTTGATTGTGTTGGAGCATCCCTAGTACTGCAGCATCTCTAGACACCCTGGAACCGGACTCCGGTACCAACCATGGTACCAAACCCCAAGAGGAAGCCCCTTCATGCTCCCCATCTGGGTTTAGCTTCCTCTTCATCCACTCTGGATGAAGCCACAGTGGCACCCGGGGTCTCTCCACCTCCAGATGACCACAAGGCATACCAAGACCTACTGAAATGGGTAGCCTCAAGCCTAGGGGTCCAAGCAGAGGTGGTTAAGGAGGTGACACAGCCTCATGGATATTCTGTGGTCAGTGGTCCTGTCCAGAGTTGCTTTGCTTCTACACAAGGCCGTCATGGACCCTTTTAAGGGGCTATGGCAAACCCCTGCCTCCCTTCCATCAACAGCAAAACACTTGGCGTGTAAATACTTTGTTCTGGCCAAGGGATATAAGTTCCTCTTTTCTTCTGGGTTCATTGGTGGTTGCAGTGGCCAATGAGCAAGACTTCCAGTGAGGGCCAAGCTCTGTGCCCAAGGCAAAGGACCCTAAGAAGCTGGATCTCCTTGGGCGCAAGGCTTACTCTTCAGGGGGCCTGCAACTTCATACAGCAAACCAGCAGACCATGCTGGGGTGCTACCACTTGAATGCATGGGAGTCTTTGCTTAAATTCATGGAGCCCCGCGTAAATGCAGATATCCGAGGAGCTGCAAGGCTCTACTGGGAACAGCAGTGGCGAAAGCAGCTGTACATCAGGCCACTGCATTCAGGATCCAGCGCCCCACGTGGGCAGCTCCTCCTGCATGGCTGTACCGCTCCCAGCCCTGCTCAGTGGCAGCTGTCTGGAAGTGTGCAAGCTATGACTCAGACCTCTGCAAGCTTGGTTAGCTATTGTCTACTCCCGCCTATCACCATCTCTTGGACTCAGTTCTCAGTCCTGGCCCGGGTCCTAGACTCGCTGCAGTGGTGGCTGGACAGACAACGCACAGTCAACCTGTGGAACTCCTTGCCTGAGGAGGTTGTGAAGGCTAGGACTAAACAGGGTTTAAAAGAGAACTGGATAAATTCATAAAGTCCATTAATGGCTATTAGGCAGGATGGATAAGGAATGGTGTCCCTGGCCTCTGTTTATCAGGGGGTGGAGATGGATGGCAGGGGAGAGATCACTTGATCATTACCTGTTAGGTTCACTCCCTCTGGGGCACTTGGCATTGGCCACTGTCGGTAGACAGGATACTGGGCTGGATGGACCTTTGGTCTGACCCAGTATGGCCATTCTTATGTTTGTACTGAATCCAGAGGAGCAAGTTTGCTTGGAGCAAGTCTATGAGATCCTAATGGGCAGTAGCTTGGCTGGATGGCTGTCTGTCTACTGGCAAAATGGAAAAGGTTCTGCATCTGGTGTTCACAATGACCAGTCCTGTCTCTGCAGTCTTCTCTGTAGCTCATTCTAGACAAGTGGTTCCCTAACTTTAACAACCTGTGAACCCTTTTCAATAAAATGTCAAGTCTTGCGAACCCCCTCCTAAAAGTGAATATTTCCAGGGATTTTCTCCTTTATCTGAGAATAAATTTAAAAAGCAGTGATCTTGGAAATATAAAATTTGTTTTTATGACATGCTTATTACACACTACCCTGAAAAAGAAAAGGAATACTTGTGGCACCTTAGAGACTAACCAATTTATTTGAGCATGAGCTTTCGTGAGCTACAGCTCACTTCATCGGATGCATACCGTGGAAACTGCAGAAGACATTATATACACACAGAGACCATGAAACAATACCTCCTCCCACCCCACTGTCCTGCTGGTAATAGCTTATCTAAAGTGATCATCAAGTTGGGCCATTTCCAGCACAAATCCAGGTTTTCTCACCCTCCGCGCCCCCCCCCCCCCCACAAACTCACTCTCCTGCTGGTAATAGCCCATCCAAAGTGACCACTCTCTTCACAATGTGTATGATAATCAAGGTGGGCCATTTCCTGCACAAATCGAGGTTCTCTCACCCCCCTCCAAAAACCACACACACAAACTCACTCTCCTGCTGGTAATAGCTTATCCAAAGTGACCACTCTCCCTACAATGTGCATGGTAATCAAGGTGGGCCATTTCCAGCACAAATCCAGGTTTTCTCACCCTCCGCGCCCCCCCACACACACAAACTCACTCTCCTGCTGGTAATAGCCCATCCAAAGTGACCACTCTCTTCACAATGTGTATGATAATCAAGGTGGGCCATTTCCTGCACAAATCGAGGTTCTCTCACCCCCCTCCAAAAACCACACACACAAACTCATTCTCCTGCTGGCAATAGCTCATCCAAACTGACCACTCTCCAAGTTTAAATCCAAGTTTAACCAGAACGTCGGGGGGGGGGTGAGGGGGGTAGGAAAAAACAAGGGGAAATAGGCTACCTTGCATAATGACTTAGCCACTCCCAGTCTCTATTTAAGCCTAAATTAATAGTATCCAATTTGCAAATGAATTCCAATTCAGCAGTTTCTCGCTGGAGTCTGGATTTGAAGTTTTTTTGTTGTAAGATAGCAACCTTCATGTCTGTGATTGCGTGACCAGAGAGATTGAAGTGTTCTCCGACTGGTTTATGAAT